AGATAATAAAATTCTTCTAATTTAAGATCAAATCCTACATATTATAAAATGTTCTTATTTACCTGATTCTAGTTCAATAATGTATTAAAATATATGTCTTCTTGATGTAACTGCTGGATCCTAATACTAAAAGCGGTTTTCCGAATTTATCCATACCATATTATATGCGATGTGTTTAAAATGAGCCTTTGCAAAGAGCCAAATAATAAACCAAAGGTTCAAAGAGATAGACAAAGAAGATATGAACAACACAGCCTTTGTCCATTTACCAACATTTAATTATTTCCTCGTAGTATCAATTTACTTCCACCCATCAGACCATTGATCTTCTTCCTTGGCTACAAAATCACCTCTGGTTTCAAACTCACCACCATTCATGATCTTTCCACTACCGCCAACATTTTTCGAGCCATCAGAACATTCCTCTTTTCCCGTCGTTCCACCACTGTTGTTCCAACCATCTGTACATTCGGCTTTTTCCTTTGCGCCATCATTTTCGTTCCAACCATCAGACCATTCTTCCTTTTCCTTTGCGCCGCCACCATTGTCGTTCCACCCGTCAGACCATTCATTTTTTTCTTTTGCATCACCATTGTCATTCCACTCGCCAGACCATTCATCTTTTCCCTTAGTTTCACCATTGTTGTTCCACTCGTCAGACCACCCGGCTACTGGAGGGTATTGAGGAGCATTGCCGCTTCCTTCTTGATCAAATGGTTCCTCCACAAACTCATCCTGCTCTGGTAAACCGCATCCTTGGTAAGCATTGTTATCCACACATCGCCACAAAAGCTTGTTCCAGTTCATGTCCTGTTTCATATAAAAGATAATCTTAGTTGAAAGGTTGGGAATGATGATACTGCATTATGTTTTATCCAGAAAAAACAAGCAAGTGGTACCTTGCATATGATATGTGGGTTCCCGATGATCACAAGCAGAGAGATTGCACGGGTGATTGCGACATTAAACCTCCGTGGATTGCTCAGAAAGCCAAGACAATAGGCTCTATCAAAGTCGTTGTGTTTGATTGTAGATCTCACAGTTGAGATGATAATTACCTGTTTCTCTTGCCCTTGGAATTGCTCTACACTACCAACTTTGACTTCAGTCATATCTAACCTATCAAGAACCTCCTTGATCTTCATTACTTGCTGCCTGTAAGGAGCTATAACTCCGATATCCTCTTCTTGCACACAATCATTCGCTGTTAATCTCTTGATTGTTTCTATAACTTTGCTGATTTCTATTCGGTTGAACCATGATGGATTGTTACCTTCCCTCTCATCGCATCCTTGGATCCCATAGAAAACCATTGGGAATTCTTTGTTTGGAAGGAACTTTAACGAGGCAAGAACAGAGTCTGTGTCTTCTTTGGAAGCTACCAGTTCTCCATCATAGAACAGCTTCGACGGGAGATCAAGAATCTCTGGGTGGCATCTGTAGTTTTTCAATAGCTTTGTCACATAATTTTCATCCCCTTCACCATAATATTCGCACTCAAACAATCTTTCCAAGTATGACTTCCCCAAGCCTAGTGACTCAGCATCTCTTGAGTATATAACTGGACCCAGCTGCCTTGGATCTCCAGCAAGCACAACCACAGTTTCTGACAAGCAGAGATTTGATATGGCAATCATGTTTTCTGGCTCTGAAGCTTGACCAGCCTCATCTAAGAAGATATGAGTGAAGTGACCACGGTTTACACCTTCTGCATTAAGAAGGGATGCACTCATATATGTTGACACAACAAGTTTGTAACGAGTCAAAGCTTTGAGTGGAGGGCACTTGAAAACCAACTCATCAAAGAAGCAAAAGCGGATAATCTCAGGCTTGATTTCTTCATATGCACGAGTAGCTGCATTCAGCCTAAAGATCTCATTGTCCTTGATCCGAACTCCCTCCAGACAAAGGAGCTTCTCCAAAATGTGATCAGCTGCACTATTGGAAGGAGCACATACAAGAATCCGAGCATTTTTCTGAGTCGTATAGAGTTGAACTATCGCCTCCACCAATGTCATGGTTTTCCCAGTACCAGGAGGTCCATGGATTACATATGGTGGTGCTCCTTTGCAGCCAAGAACCATTTCAATGGAACAAATCTGCTCAGCATTAAGAGCTGGTGAAATGGGAACGATGGGTTTTGTCTTTATCATCCTTTTCCCCGAGTGTAAGGATGGGAAAAGAAAGTTTGGATCCAACTTTTCTGCCG